GTAAAACATGATTACAGCTGTCCCATGACTACAATTGCCCTCGAAGACGCAATTCTCAGGCTTCCCTTCTACGAAATTGCTTATTTTTAAATCCATGGCATTACATTGTTAAGATGTGGTTTTACAGGTCCTCAGTTACAGGTTTCCATGCTCCATCTAGTCATTTTCTACAGGGCACAGAATGTAATTAAGCTTTCTTTTAAGTGCGTGGAAGAAGCTCCTACTGTTAAAGCAGTGGAGAATACTGGAGAAATTCCTAAGGAGCCTTCACTAGGTAGCGCATGTTCGATGATACCTAAAAACGAGCAACACTGTAATAACATTGTAATAAGCTTTTGAATATTTGCTTTTTAGAATATATTGGCCGTATTTCATTTATAAAGGTGGTGGTATGGAATATATAGGTCATGTCCTAGCCATTAGTACTTATGTTTCAGTAACAAACACTGGGGTGGATTCATTGGTCACAGGATCAGATTTCTAATTTTGATTTTAATATAGATTAATTGCATAGTTTTTTTTCTTCCTGTAGCAGCAAACATATGATTGATTTGCTGCATGTCCCACCAGATAGTGCATTCAAGAAGAAATATGAAGAAATTGAAAAGAATCCTTTCTAACAAATTATTTTCAAAGAGTCTTTCATCATGGATTAGTTGTTCAGAAATCTAAGGACACTTCTTTACTTCACCTTCCCTTCTTCCTCCAGAGTCTTTGCTGCCTTCTTTATCCCTCCACCCTGGCAGGCCGGATGGGGAACTCTCAGAAATCTGTGCTGAGTCTTCATGTGCCAGTGAGACCCCTGCCTTTCCTCCCAAAGGCCTCCCAGCCGTTCCCAGAGCTGAGAATTAAAGAGAGTTATTCGGAGTTTGACTCATGACTACTGTAAAGTAACATGTTAGCACTAAGGAAATTCTTTTCTGCAACTGACTCACTTTTTCCTTCCTCTGGCTCTCCTGGAAGAGTTACTGGGAATCCCTAAATAACTTCAGCCAAGCCCAAAACCATAAGTGAAATGGAATGCAAATCACTAATCTTAGAACCACTCCTAACTTTACTATGTGTAATTAGTTTATCTCCTAAAACACTAACGGTATGTCCACAGACCTTGGGCTTCTACTTTTCCTGACAGATTCATACATTTTTATGCATATGCACTGGGGCATTAGGAGGCCACATAATATCTGACTTCAGTCAGCATTTCAATGCTGGATTTTCCTTTAATGTTCTGTTCTTGGTTCAATAAAGAGAGAGCCCGTGGATGGTACTGGCTTGTTGGAACAAGGTGTGAAACAAGGTACCATAGGAAGGGCACCGTTTCTGCACCACGTCTGTGCTAGCCAGGTCTCAGGGAAGCCACATGCTGGGTCTCACTCTCATTTCTTGTCCTCTCGGGCTGGCGCGAGTCAGGCGGTGTCGTGGGGCACTGCCACATCACAGGCTCCTGCTGCTCTGGGATCCCCCACCTCTGTCTCTTCACCTCAACTATTTATAGCAGCAGCCGGGTTGGTTTCTCTGCCCCAAAAGTGTGGGCGAGGAGACACAACACACGCTTCTGTCTCTAATTGTCCTTGGTGCCCGCTGGAATTGCAGCTCTCCACCTCCAGCAGGAAGCACACACCTTCTTCCTCCCCAGCACTAAAATTGCACTAAGAAACTTTCCTTGCTCGGAGTCCCTCCTTGCCCAGCTCAGCACTGGCTGCGGTGGCTGTAGCCTTTTGGAGAGACCTGGAGCATGATGGAGCAACTGTGCAATGGTGGAAACTACCATGACACAGTCTACTGAGCATCAAGAAGAGGATGACAGTCATTCTGCTGGATGTCCTGGCCATGCTCCTGCTCACACACCCCTGGATGCTGTTAACCTTCATCCCTGTTGGGGCTGGAACCTGCTCATATACCGTCCCCTAAGACTTCCAGGCGCTTCTCAGCAGAGTTGGTTCCCAGACAGTCATGGTCCTGTACCCTGCAAGATACCGGTCTGCCCCAGACACACGGCATTGAGTTTGTCCTGGCTGAACTTCATGAGGTTCCTTTCAGCTCATTCCTGAAGCCTAAGCCCATGGTAGCTCTAGCCTTGAGCATCATCACCTCAATTTGGTGTCACCCGCAGCCTTGATGAGAGGGCACTTTGACACCTCCCCCAGGAATTGATAAGGATATTAAGGTTCCAGGGACAGGTCTCAGGACAGACTCCTGCAGTACTTGTCACTGGCCTCCAGGTAGAACACAGCCCATTAAATACTCCCCTCCAAGTCATCCATCAAGTCTTTTATCCATCCAGTTGTCCACTCATCTAGACCATAAAGTCCTAATTTGTATATAAGCTTATTGTGGGGAATAGTGTCCAAAGTCTTGTTAAAGCCAAGGCAAATGACATCTACTGCTCTACCCTCATCCCCAAATCCCATCATTTCATTACGGAGGGCACTCAGCTTGGTGGGATATGATTTATCCCTGGCAAATGCATGCTGATTGCTCCAAACACCTTCATATCCTTCCTGTGATCAGAGTTTATTCTAAAAGGACATGGATTTTCACATGGGCTGCAGTGAGGCCGACCAAAGATGACCCTGAGTAACATAGCTTTATCTCTTTCCTTTGTTTCTTGATTACTTGCCCCATTCAGCAACATTTTCCTTGTTCAGTCTTTTACTATTAGAGTTTTGGTGGAAGCTCTTCTGGTTGCCCTTTAAGTCCCTTGCAAGTCTTAACTCCAGGTGCTGTCTGAACTCAGAAAGGAGGCTTTATATGAAGCTGTTGGACATTTATTGCAGTCTTTGCATCACCACACAAACCTGAGTTAGCTACTCTGGTGATGGGAGTGCACTAGATTTTCAAATGCAAGCACCAGGAAATGCTATATCCGAACACTGCAAATAAGCATCGGTATAAATCTTACTATTCTATATTTGCTTCGTTCTGCTTTGTCAGGGAAACTGATAATAATTTAATAATGAAAGGGAACTAATGAGGCCCATGGATTTGTGCCTCACGCTTGGATTATCCAGTGTCTAATAAAGTGTGAATTTCAACTGAAGCTTTTCCCACCCCAGGGGGGAAAAGCCACTCTCATCATCCATGTGGATTCTCTGTGACTAATACAGGGGAAGCTCACAGGGCAGCTTTTGATTTACTGGGAGTACAGGTAGGGGCACTTCCACTACCCAGCTCTATTTCCACGATCCTCATGAAAACACGTTATCCTGGTGATCTCTGCCCCTTTGATTCCACTTTGGCCAGTGGGATCAGGAGTTATTAGGGAGAATGTAGAGGCTGACAAAGCCTGGCTCAGAGTTGTGGCGCAGACATTGCTCGCATTGGAACAGCCTTAACCTTTTCACCACCTTGCATTTTGATGGACAAGGTGTGTTTTTAGCAGGGCATGACTAAAACACATCAGCTGCGTGTTTGGGGAGCATTTTCAGTCTTAGCACAGAGCTTAGGGAATAAAATGTGCAAACAGGCAAATTCAGCCTGTGCTAAAACCCAGCCTAGAGTGACTGCTAGGTCCTTCCAGTCCCCACTGCCTGTACCCTTGATCTTCTCTTTACTTTTTAGACTCACATTTTTTTCCTTTTTAACAAACACTCTCACCTCAGTGAGTGAAAGAGCTATTGTGCAGTGAGTGAAAGAGCTATTGCACAGCAGTGACCCAAAGTACAGGAACTCGAGGCAACAATTTGACAGTTCAAAATAATCACATTTTCTTCTGCAGACCTATCCTTCTCCATGCACCTGCTCTCCCCTATAAACACACACAAACGTGCTGCGTGGTTTAGCCATAGAGCACATCCGAGCACGATGCTGCGTGTGGCAGCCTCAGACAGCGAATGTGGCTTCTCACAGAAAAGGAGCAAGTCTTTAGGCCAAAACACCGTGCAAAGGGGGACCTTTGGTAGCGCTGCGCCAAAGAAATGCCACAACTTTCATGTGCGCATGCTCTTTGCAAGAATGCTCCTTCTCCAAAACGGAAATAAAAGCCAAGCAGAAAATGAAAGGAAAGTACAGCTTTTATTAATGAGAAATGGGAGAAAGAATCCATGCTTCACTTTGCAGAGCAGCATTAGGCTTGATCTGATTGCTGCAGGCTCAGGAACCCACGTGGTGCGCAATGAAATCAGTGATGACCGGGCAGCCCGAGATGACGGGCTGGTCGTTGCAATCCCTTACATCAGATCCATGTTGGAAATTCAGGTATCAGCTCTCCTGCACCGATTTTAAATTGGGGTAAGAGGAGGGTATCGGGCACATGGAATGCTGTAAACAGCAGCAAAAACGAGTCTCCTTTTCTCTAAGAAGCAGTCACTCAGATCAACATTGCCTTGGAAATATTGGTGGCTTTTTTTTCCTTTTTCTGTTTCTCTTTTGTAATGTTAGAATATGAAAACGTGAGGTCCCTTTTGTCCCACATCGTCACACTCTCTCAGTTCAGCAGTTCCCCGTGTTCCCTCCGTGACTTTATTCACAGGCAGCGGCTGCAACACAGGAAATTCAACAGCCGTGAGGTGCCACGCACCCTTTCCAGGAAGCGACGACACCCAAAGCTCCCGACCCAGGGACACGGGGACTCCGTTCCGGGGACCCGGGCCGCCGTTCCCGGGACCCCTGCAGCCTCTCGCCTCTGCCCTCCCTCAGCACCGAGCTCCCCCCGCCCCGCCCCGCCCCGCGCGCAGGCCCCGCCCCCTCTGGGCGGCCGTGAGGCTGCGCGGGCGCGGCGCATGCGCAGCGGCGCGCGCGGGCGCCCGTTGCCCCGCCCCGCCCCGCCCCCCCCAACGGCTCTCCGCGGCCGTTGTTGTCAGTTGCGTCTCGCGGGCGGCGGGGCGGCAGTTGGGGCGCTGTGCGGGCACGGCCGCCACCCAGGAGCCGTGTCCGCGGCTTCCGCGGTCCCCCCGGCCCTTTCCTGTCCTTGGTTCCCCTCGCGGAGCGCCGCGCTCGCCGGCGCCGCTGCCGCGGGGCAGCCGCTGCCCATGGTGGGGGCGGCGCGGGGCGCGGTGGCCCGAGGACGCGCCGCGGCCGGAGGGAGTAAGTGGCCGTCGCGGTGGCGCGCTGGGTGCGGAGGGGGCCCGCGGGGTTGTGGTGTGGTGCGGTGGGCTCCCTGCATCCCCTCCCTCCCGCCGCCTTTCCGTTCCTCCCGGAGGCGGCCTCGCCCGCCGCGCTCCTCCCCACCGCCCCAATGGCGGCCTCGGCCCAGGAGGAGCCGGCGGGCGGGCAGGGGGGAGAACGGGGACGTTTCCCGGGCGCCGAAGGTCGCTGCCGCGCGGCGCTGGGTAGAGGGATTTGGGGGCTGGAAGGACGACGAGGGTGTCGCGGCGGGAGCGCTGCGCTCTGCGGAGCCGTTGTGTGCGTGTGACAGGCTGGCACCTGCCCCGCCGCGTGTCCCCCGGCCCGCCCGCCTCTAACGCGGGGTCACCGCGGGAGAAGCGGCAGCGAGGTCGCCCCCTGCTCCCTTGGAAAATAAAATAAATACCGCGGGCGAGATCCCTCTGGCAGTAGAGGGATCTCGTGTGCGCTGGGGGGATGACGGTGCATGTCGCCCCTGGGAAGCCGCTGCGTGGCCAGCAGGTTCGCTCCGGGGGCGAGCGAAGCCCCTTCTGCTCGCGGCTCGAGCGCGCCGCTCACAAAGCCCCGAAGCGCCCGTGTCCCCGCGCCTCGGTGCTGCTGCCGCCGCCGATACAGGCACTGCATTGGATTTACTGCCTTCGGGTCGCTGGAGGGATCGATTGGATAAGTGGATGTGTCCTGGAAAGGGCTCTGTGCGCTTTGCCAGGCAGGCTTCAGCGCACGGATGGTTTTCCACTATTGAAGTTCACGGCAGATGACTTTTTAAAACGTTTGTTGTTGATTTGCAGCCTCGGCAGTGGCTCAAGGACGGATTATTTATTTATTTATTTATTTGTTTGTAGTACCCCTAGACTATGTCAAATATCGGAAAAGATCCGCTCGGGAAAAATGCTACGTTGGCCTGGGGGTACTTGGAGACAAATGTGACCTATTTTCAAATAGGCTTTTTTATTATTATTATTGTTGGTAAGCAGTGCTAGAACATCTGTGAAGGAGAAAAGCTAGCAACTAAGGGGATAAAAAAAAAAGCTTTACATGTGATATGAAAACACATAGACTTTTTTTGTGTATGTGTAGATAGTTTCTTACTGATCACCTTGCTTTCAAGGGCTTGTTAGGAGCAGAGATGCAAAAAAGTGTTTTCCTCAATGGTACCATTGCAGTTCCTGAAACAGCTAAAGTGTCTTGGAGCCATCTAGCATGAATGAATTGCACACAAATCTGCTTACGCCTGCCCTCTGTAGTGCAGTCGCTACTTAGTCATATAGGCTGCTCTTTGGAGTTGTTTATTATGAATGTATTTAGACCCTCAGGGTCTAGGGAAGGGCAAGTTTAATGAATCTGAGCAAAATGAATCCATACAGAACAATGTTTACAAGCCAATGTTTTTATGTTAGTTAAGCAGTTCGTGGAAGGCTGGCACTGTTAGGGAGTGGGTTAATGGATTTTTTTTTTTTTTTTTTTGATAAAGTACAGCACAAAGGGGAAATTCAGCTGATTATTTTTATTATTGCTGATGCTTGGAAAAGAAAATTCTGAACAAATCTGCAGGACATTGCTACATAATGCAGTCAAGTTCTACATTGTAAAATATGGTGAAATGTTAATTTAAATAGAATAAGCTTTGCTCTTTATGGTACATGAAAAAAAATTTGAATTTGAAAATCTCACTGCAAAAAGTGGGAGAAAATCCTTTCCCCCCCCCCCCCCCCCTTTTTTTTTCCTGGAATATTCTGAATGCCCAGAGGACTGATGAATGATGACAGAATGTTCCAAGCGATTGGGAAAAGAAGTTAACCTAAATACTGGAGGAGCCCTTGGAAGACAAGAAACTTCTAAGACAACATGCTTATCTCTTTCTTTTGAGAGAATCTCTGTAGTTCACACCTGAGACATCCAACAAAGTGGAGAAAAGGGCAGCTGACTTATTAAGTGAACTTAATGACAAGCTGTTATTTTTTTCTCAATGAATAACTGAGAGGCAGGAAATGCAGATCTCTGCTTATTGAAATTTCTCTACAGGTTACTGCTGTTCTTTATATTTGAGTTTTCTTGCTACAAGACCTGATATTCCCATACCGTGTGGGTGGTTTGACGTAGTTGTTAATGTTGCACTGTGGATTCACAGTCCACTTTCTGATTGCTTTAAACAAATGGCATGTCAAGGTTTCTTGATGCATATTTTAAAAAACTGTCGTGCGCTTAATGTGAAACTGAAGACGATCTTCTCCTTGGGGTGGTCATCTTCCTCATGCCATTTTCTGACCAACCCGCTCTCCTCGGTCTCTTCTAAATCCACTGTTTCGATTGCATGTTTGAGTAAAGGTGCAGCCTATCCCTTCAGTGCATTATTGTGCTTTGTAGCTCATATGAGCAACAACAGTGCTCAACTATAGTGCCTGTTGTCTTGCTTGGTTGCCGGTCCCCTTTCAAGGGCACGCTATCCTAGTTTAGCTGGCTTTCTCCTCAGAATGCCTTTCATAAAAGCTAGTACATTGCTCTTGTATCCTCCGCTATTTTCAAAAATCTGCAGAAGCGCAGGAGCTGTAAAACTTTTCACTGAACTTTAGTCCATTTCTACTAGGTAGTATTTATAACAGTGTATTAAAATAATGAGACAAGTTGTCCAGATTAGGTACATTGACTTCTGTATATATTGCTGAACAGCAACTTATAGTGGGTATACTAGTATTGCATAAACCGCTAAGTTTAATAGCATACAAGGCACTGCATGTCTTGCTTGCCACACTGCTTTCAAATGCTTAAACGCTACTTCATCTGAAACATCTAAAGTAGCTGTTGTTTTAACGTGCATTGTAATGTTGTGTAACAGCCTAAGAGGATTTGAAAAATGGTATATTCACTTGCGGTTCTAGGATAACTTAACCTGGCAGAGTTCTAATATACATAAGTTGATGAGGTCTGAAATGTTAAGTACGCTGTTGAGGAAAAAATGCTTGTGAAAGATGAAAAGGAGCATGTTCATTTCTTGGAAAAACTAAATCTCACAATTGCTCAGCAGCTCTCTATCACAGTGGTGAAGCACTGATGTTGTGCTGATTTTTACAGACTGTTTTTTACTTCCTACTTCAGATGTCTTTCTGTGTTTTTTGCAGCAATTTTCTGCAGTTGCAGACTGGACTTAAAACAGCTTGAGAGATACTAGCTTAGTGGGGTTTTTTTTGTTTGTTTGTTTTTTTTAATAGCATCAGCCTGTTGAAGCCTGTTGTATTTCATTTTTTTTAATGATTCCTAACTAGTTTAGAGTACTAGAAGTGAGGGTCCAAAATTGAAAATGATGAGCTGCAGGTTGGAATAAGTGTCATTCCTTAAAGTTTGAGCAGCCTATATGCTGGAGACAAAATGCCAGTATTTCAATAGTAAGTCTAACCAAGTAAATTCAGTACTGATTTTTTACATTATCTGAGATATCTGTAGATATTTTTACAATATCTACATTATTTACATTAAGCTTTATGCATTTTGAGCTGTGAGATGCTGCTTGGGACATTTAGTAGAAAATGCTATTATTTATAATAGATGCTAACTATCTGCATTTATTTGCTTTTGAATATTTATATTTTAGCCCGTGTTCAATGCTTTTGCTCCTTTAATATGGAATAAAGAAATTGTTTGTGCTGTTAGACCAAAAATACTGTTAGGTGTTACAACAGTGGTTTATATCATTATTGTTAAAGCATTCCACAATGTTTATTGTTAAAACAAGCCCTCTTGAAGTACTTGGTGATTACTAGTGGATCTAGTGGATCCAGTTTGTGATACAGTTGCACCTCTCTCGCTGTTGGAGAGAAATATGTCCTTTTCTCTTTTATGGCTCCATTTATCCACTTACCTGGGAAGTGGAGGGAAGTAGGCAGCGCACAATTAATAATTAGACCTTTATAAATGGTAAGACAGTTCTAAGATGTCATAAACAAGGAGTAGATGAGGTGGTTCTTCTAAAAGAGTCCAGAAGCTGGTGGACAGAGGTCTGATTCATTTGCCATTTACAAAATGGCAATAGCAGACTTCCTTACAGAATTTTAGACTTTTTTTTTTTGAAGATAGTTATACCATCCTGAATCACAATAATGTGACTTCTCTCTGATATGCAAAGTGTCTCTTCATCAATTTCATGTTTCTAGTTACTTTGGAACAACAAATAGAGGGAAATTTGGGGGTTTAGAATTGTGAAACCTTTGGGAAACTATTTGGATGCTGCTTGTTAGTCTTTGAAAAGTAGCGTCCTGAGCTCAGGAGTTCAGCTACAGGAGTTATTTTTATTGGTTTTCATGATCTCTAGACTTTGCTCCTTTGATATCAGTTCTTGGTTGGTTACATTTATGAATGTATGTAACTAAGACATCCATGTTAATTTTTGTGTGATTGTTGAGACTTTCTGTTAACAACAGTTTGTGCTGAAACTAATTTATTGTAGGTTACAACATATGTTCTTTGAACAAAGTTTTACAGCTTATTTAAAGGTGCAAAAATAGTAGTAGGTATAAATTTTGGGGCAAGACCTTTTTAAAAATACTATTTTAGCACATATTAACTTGTACAATGTAACATAGAGGACGTGATTGTTTGGAAGGACTCCTGTTGTTCTGTTCTGTTACTTCTGAGTAGCTTTAGATCTTAAGTAGTTGGTATTGCTGAAGCATCTGATATGCATACAAAATAGTCGTGTGGGTTTTGTATGTTGCTTTTCATTCCATAACATAACAAATTCTGAGGTTAAGAGAAAAATGGGAGCAACATGAAATTACCTGCTTTTGGAGCTGGGGTTGATGCAAAGTCTTCAAATGGTATAAAGCTACTGTTGCGTTCTCAAACTTATAGAGCAGTTTGCATTTATGTCTTGTGTAATAGCTGTTCTTAGAAATGAGAAGTGCCTTGTGAACTGCAGTGAATATTGACATAGTTATAAAGGTATTTTATGCTTTTAAAACATTTCACAA